CTTGCACAAGCCATCCATTAAAATATTGTAAGTGAATAAACCGGGATGTACTTGCCGAGCTTCCATATCCTTATAAAGTTTCCATCCATCAGCAAATCTGCCTTCAATAATCCATGTATCATGGTATTATAAGTAACCGTCGTCTGTTCTAAGTCTTTCGAAGAAACTTCGAGAAAAAGACGCCAAGCTTCATCCACTTTACCCTTCTTGCAATATCCGTTTATTAAAGAGTTATAGCTGATAATACATGGCGTAAGGCCACTGCCCGTTATGGAATCAAATACTTCTTTCGCTCTATCCATTTTCCCTTGCAAACAATACCCATCTATCAGTGCATTATACGTGACAATATTAGGACAAATATTTTGTGATTTTGTGACAAAATCACAAAATCTTGTGATTGACCATTTCATTCAATAAGTCTTTAACCTCTTTCCATCTACCAAAATCGCACAATCCCTGAATCATCGAGCTATATGTGACAACAGTCGGTGAAATGCCCTTATCAATCATTCTAGACTTCAGCTGGAGTGCATTATCCACCATTCGGCACTTGCATAAGCCATTAATTACAGCGTTATAAGCCATAACATCGGGTTTATAGATAGTATTTTCCAACAACAAAAGCAAATCACGGGCAGTATGAACACGTCCAGCTTTGCAGAGCCCATCCATCGCAGTAAGAATCGTAACATCGTCCGGCTCACAAAGATTCAAAGTCAAAACCTTCTTGAACAATTCTCTGCCTCGGCCACATTACCATCTAAAAAGAGCCCTTTTAAGAGGGTGGTAATGTCGTAACATTTGCCTCGTAGCCCTGTTTAAAGAAGATCCCGAACACAGCAAAACCAACGTCTACACGTTTCAAAAGGCAGCAACAATTAATTAAGATGGTCATTGTGTACTCATCTATAGGGGCATCCCATTGACGCATTTCGTCGAACAGTTTAAGGGCACCCGAATATTGCTTCATCTTGAAACTAACTTGCAGTAGTTTGGTGAATTCAACAACGGAAGGCTGTGGCTGCATTCTCACCATTTGACGAAACAAGAAAACAGCATCGTCTAATTCATTTATACAACTCAAATCTATTCTGGGTTTAGGTGAAAAGGATCCATCTTTGTGAAAATTTGAACAGAATAACGAAAAGGGATGAACAAAAATACAGTAATGGTGAGAAGATTTAGCAGCAATTGCTCTACGAATCAGCAACGTTATTCCAAACCCCCTCATCTTCTTCAGCTATTTTATGAAGATAATTTTACCTACACAAGAAGAAGTCTCGAAGATTATCACAAAGTGTAATTACTTAGAGAGTGGCAGTTTCTGTAATTACTTGGTCAATGGAAAGTGTTGTAATTACTTTGAGAGTGGCAGTTTCTGTAATTACTGTTAAATGATAATTTTGTAATTATTTGTTGAGCGTGAGTTCTCTAATTGTTGCTGAGTGGCAGTTATGTATTCATTTGTTAAGTGTGAGTTCTGTACTTGCTGCTCATAAGCATTTCTTTAATTATTTGCTGAGTGGCAGTTATGTAATTATATGTTGAGTGTGAGTTCTATAATTGCTAATGAGTGGCAGTTCTTTAATTATTTGCTATGTAATCACTACTTAGGGATACTTGTGTATTTACTGTTGAATAGCACTTTTGTAATTATTGGTATACTTGACGACTTTGAGTTATGTAATATTTTTTTAGTGGCAGTTATATACTTCTTTAGTGAATGACAGTTCTTAAATTACTTTTTTTTTTTTTTTGAGTAAATTGGAGTCCATTACAAGGGGAAGTAGGGGAGGGGGACTCGAACCCTAGACCGTCACCCTATTGGTAAAGATTGGGTACCAACTCTCCTAACGAGGGTTTAGGTGAAAAGGATCGATCTTTGTGACTCACACTACGAAAATTTGAAGAGAAGAAAGAAAAGGGATAGGTAAAAAGTAAAAATAGAGTAATGGTGGGAAGACTTAGCAAATAATGCTCTACGAATCAGTATTTCAGTTCCTCTCATCTTTTTCAGCAATTTTATGAAGATAATTTCAGTCAAGAATGAACTGGTACCTACAGAAGAAGGAGGCTCGGAGATAAGTTCACTCTCTCTCTCTCTCTCTCTATATATATATATATATATATATACATATATATATATATATATATATATATATATATATATATATATATATATATATATATGTATATCGGGTTTTTGGCACTTTGCACCCTTAAATTGCAAAATTGGCAGATTGCACCCTTTAAACATAAATTGTTTGGCACTTTGCACCCCAAACCACTTTTAGCTTAATAAAATTACCTGCAACTTGTTGAAAACCTGGAATATGGACAAATATATAATTCTCTAATTATCTACCTTCTTCCCCCAATTATTAATCATTGTTCCACAATTTTTATCTTTTGTCATTTTAATCAAAAAATCATAAATTCTTCTTAGCGATTTCTATTTGCCCTAATATGTAAATTTCTGAGCTAAAACTCAAGAACGATTGGAAAATATAGACAAGAGTCTGATAACACACCTTCAGAAGATCAAGTTTTATTCCATGGTAACGCTATTTTTTTTAATCATTTTTCATACAGACTATTCAATGGGAGCACAAAATTCCTCTCATCATGAAACTAATTGGCACCACCTCTCTGCCACCAAATAAAATTCCACAGTAACCTTATTTTGTCATTTGACTATTAAAAAAAAAGAATTTTTTTTAGGGATCGGCCTAAAATTTCCAGCTACATTATTTTTCCATTTCAAAAGCAAAAAAAAAAAAAAAGTGATTTACTCTTATTATTCAGTGTTTATACTGGTTTACCACTGAAAGAAATGGCTAAAAAGATTTTAGGATTTTTTTATTAAAGGGATGAATGATAAAAATGGTGGAAGGGTGATTAACAATTGGGGAAAGAGGATACATATTAAGAAAATTATGAATTTGCCAATCTTCCAGGTTTCCCAACAAGTTGCAGGTAAGTTTTTTAAGTCAAAATGGCCATGAGGGTGTTTTGAAAGGCCTCCAACCCCACCCAAATTTAAAGAGCTTAAACATTTGTGGATTTCCAGGAAGAAATCTGCCACCATGGTGTTCAATGATGTCGGAGCTTAATAATCTGATGGAGATTGGTCTTCGAAATTGCAAAGAATGCGAACAAATTCCAATGCTAGGGCACTTGCGACATTTGAAGAATCTTTATCTACATGGTATGTCGAATGTGAAATCCATAGGTTCGTCATTCTACGGAATAGACAAGTGTAGCAGATCAGGTAATACAATTACTATATTTCCGGCACTTGAAAGGCTCGAGTTGGTTTGTATGTGGAAGCTGACAGAGTGGTTAGAAGCAGAGTTGATGCCAAATGCAACGGACAATCGACGACTATCTCAACTTGTACTGGTATTTCCTCGCCTCGAGTACGTGAAGATTATAATGTGCATGCAATTGGAGAGTGCTCCAAGTCATTTTCGATGCCTAAAAGAATTGGAGATTTCTCAAGCCCACAGTGAATTACCTTTGGCGAGTATATGTGGGATCAAATTAATCTCGCTTAAAAACTCCGAATTAATTCAATTGACGGATTGGTGTGTCTCCCAGATTGGTTATTACGTAAAAATCAAAATCTCTCGGAGTTGAAGATAATTTATTGTCCCAACTTAACACATAGTGCCCTGCTTCCAGAGTGGCTACGCCTCTCTACTAAAAAAGTTGGAGATATGTTAATGTCCGAATTTTACAGAATTACCAGATGATCTACATAGCCTCAATGCTCTTGACATATTGAGTATACGTGATTGCCCGAATCTGATGGCAATACCATATCCGCACGAATCACATGATGAACAACAATTATTATTATTAGGATTGAGTTGCCTTCGTGAATTGAGTATTCATTTACCAATCTCCGATGTTAAATCTAACAAGGCGACCAGACGGAGATTCTGAGTGGCCCAAGATTTCCCATATTCCCCGCGTAATTTTGGATGGCGTAGTAGTTCCAACTAACGTCGTCTAAATTTGTCGCATAAATCGAATAGGTCGCTCTAGGCATAAATACAACACATATAAGGTCTCGAAAAGTAGCAGTATTTGTTTGTACGTTGGAATTTTATATCAAATATTAATAAGTGTAATTTTATATATATCGTATTATTCTCAGCTCCGGAACCCGACTTATAGAGCTTATGAATTAATTGCTATTTTTTTTACTTGTTACGAAAGGATATTTTCTTTCTCTGTTTAAACCTCTCCCGCTCTCATTCCTTTCTCAGTTCAAGAGTTTTAATCAAAATTATTGTTATGTATTTCACCATTTATTTGCCCTTTAATCAAAAAAATTTAATGATCGTATGTTTTTATTCGGTACGGAATAAATGGAGGTACAAAAGAAATCGAAAACATTGTTTCATACCCAAAATATTACTGATTGGGACAATAATATTAGTAATATTTATATGGTAATATTCATATTACTGTTTTCGCATTCAATATTACTGTATCAGACAGTAATTTTGTTGTTAACACAGTAATTTCTGGAGAAAAACTAATTCAAAAATCAGAATTTCCCAAAAAAAAAAAAAAAGTCAACGCCGACGACCGGTCGAGAAAAAAAGTTATTTTCTAAAGAAAAAGTATCTTTTCAAAAAATTGTGAAAATAGGGTAATGTGATGTATTTGTTCGAATCCGGGTCAATGTGAAATATTGATAAAGTTAGAATACAATAGATGAAATTGATGAAAATTATATTATGAGGGGCATTTTGAACAAAAGGCATGGGATGAGTTTATTTGCAAAATCGAGAAAAAAGGAATCCTTAAGCACACATATCCAAATTTTTATCTTCTTTCTTGTCAAAATGCCGGCGGTTTGTTATCTTTGCTACGCCACTCATCCACCCATAATATAAGGATTGCGACAACCGTAAAAATCACAACTCAAAAGTACATATACAGATGTTGTATCTGCAAAAATTTCAGAAGCCCAAATAATTAATTTAGATTTTCGGTACAACTTTCTTCATCATCTCCATAAGAATATCGTCTTTGTTAGATCCTTGCATGTGATTAATTAACAAGGATGAAGTAGATGCGTCGGCATAGAATCCCCTTTTGTGCATGTCCTCTAAGAACGGGATTGCCTTGTAAACCTCTTTTTTCTTTAGCAAACCCTGGATTATGCTGTTGTACATCACACTATCCGGTGCACAACCACTTCTCTCCATGTTTACAATCAAATCTTTTGCCTCGTCTACACACCCTTCTCGGCAAAGTGAACCGAGAATAACGGTATATATTTTAATATTAGGTTTCAATCCTTTGGAAGGAAGTTCGTTTAAAATATTTTTCGCCTCTACAAGTTTCCCATCTTTGCACAAACCATTAATCAAGATCCCGTATGTGACTATATTAGGGTTTAACCCTTTGTCTTCCATCGCCCGTAGAAATAAAAACGCGTCAGCAATCTGCTGTGTCTTGCACAAGCCTTCCAACAAAATATTGCAAGTATATAAATCTGGAGGTACGTGCCGAGCTTCCATGTCCTTATAAAGCTTCCATCCGTCAGCATTTCTGCCTTTACTAAATAATCCGTGTATCATGATGCTATAGGTAAATGTCGTGTGTTCTAAACCTTTAGAAGAAGCTTCGAGAAAAAGTCGCAGAGCTTCATCAACTTTTCCCTTCTTGCAATATCCGTTTATTAAAGTGCCATAGCTGATAATACATGCCTTAAGGCCGTTGCCCGTTATAGAATCAAATACTTCTTTCGCTTTATCCATTTTCCCTTGCAAACAATACCCATCTATTAACGCATTGTACGTGACAATAACGGGACTAATATTTTGTTGCTTCATAATTTTCAAAACATCCTCAGCCTCTTTAACATTTCCTTCCTTACAAAATGCGTCCACCAATATATTAAAAGTAACGACAGTCAAGTATATCTTGTGATCGACCATTTCATTAAGTAAGTCCTTCACCTCTTTCCATCTACCAAAATTGCACAAGCCCTGAATCATCGAGCTATATGTGACGACAGTCGGTGAAATGCCCTTATCAATCATTCTAGACTTGAGCTCGAGTGCATTATCCACCATTCGGCACTTGCATAAACAATCAATTACAGCACTATACGCCTTAACATCGGGTTTATAGATAGTCTTTTCCAACAACAAAAGCAAATCACGGGCAGTATGAACACGTCCAGCTTTGCAGAGCCCGTCAATCGCAGTAAGAATCGTAACATCGTCTGGCTCACAGAGTTTCAAAGTCAAAATCTTCTTGAACAATTTCTCTGCCTCGGCCACATTACCATCTAAAAAGAGACCTTTTAGGAGGGTGTTGAATGTCGTAACATCTGCCTCGTAACCGTGTTTAAGGAAGATGCCGAAGATAGCAAAACCAACTTCTATGCGTTTCAAAAGGCAGCAGCAATTAATTAAGATGTTCATTGTGTACTCATCTATAGGGGCACCCCATTGACGCATTTCGTCGAACAGTTGAAGGGCAACAGAGTATTGTTTCATCTTGACAATAACTTGCAATAGTTTGGTGAATTCAATAACGGAAGGCTGTGGCTGCATTCTCACCATTTGACGAAACAAGAAAACAGCATCGTCTAATTCATTTATACAACTCAAATCTATTCTGGGCTTAGGTGAAAAGGATCGATCTTTTTTAACCACACTGTGAAAATTTGAAAAGAAGAAAGAAAAGGGATCAGCAAATATGCCGTAATGGTAAGAAGCAATTGCTCTACGAATCAGCGCTCTTCCAGAAAACTTCATCTTTCTTCTTCAGAGATTTTGTGAAAGCCAATTCTACTGGTTTGATGTGCTTAAACTCATTCCGTTTTCTAAAATTAAAATAAATAAATAAAACTTTTATTTTAATTCAGCATAATAAAAACAAATAACAGCTCAGCCCCTTGAAAATTCCAAGTTTTGCACTAGCCCCTCTACAAATACAAAAAATAAATTATACCCCTTGAAGATTCTCTGTTTTAAAAGGATATTTCTATTCTTGAAGGGCTTAGCTCTCATTATGCATCTACCGGAGAAACAGGTGAAATGCTATGATGAACGGAAACTTCTACTTACCGTTTCAACGCTTCAGAAACGTTCCGGAAACCAAAACTCCAAGACGTCTGTCGAAAACGTTTCGTGGCCATTTCCGTAAATACTTGTAGGTTTTCGGGGATGTTTCTCATAATAATGAAAAAATTGAAACGTGTTTCCTCTAAAAGAAACCAAAATTCATTTTAAATAAAAACTCTTAATTGCATATGCTTTAAAAAAATCTTAAATCTTATGTATATTTTTCACTTTTAGTGGTGTTTTAATATTGTTGTGTATGCTAATTCCATACTAAAATGAATAATTTGGATTGAAACTTGTAAATTATACATAATTTGTAGATACAAATATGCAACTGGCGATAAGTATAACACTAGTAGAAAAATGGCTTTTTACTACGACCACTAACCGTAGCAAAAGGTATCAAATTCGTAGTAAAAAGGCTTTTGCTACGCATTTGCTACAAATTTGCCCCGTAGCATATACGGGCGTGACAAAATCTTTACAACGGTAAATAGCCGTACCAAATATTTTTGTGCTACAGTATATCCTAGTATTTACTACGACTTCAAAATTATTCCGTAGTAAAAAATACATTTTATTATGGTTTTTTACCATAGCAAACAATTTCGTAGTAAAAATCAAATTTTCTACTAGTGTAAGTTAACCGTTATAAAATTTATTTAGAAACTATGAGTGTACCTCAATATTTATAATATTTACTCCCCCACGTTCCCTCCCTTATCTAACTTTTTGGAAAACGGAGTTTCCTCATTTCGCCGCGTCCGTGTTCCCTTGTCCGTGCTACATAGGTGAAATGTCATTTGAATAACTTATATGAGGAAATGGGTAAAAGTTGCAAATAGGTGAAGTAAATACAATTTTGATACATTTGAGTGAATGAATCCATCTAATTATAAGCACTTTGTTTGTGCTTTAATAATCTGACTATTGACCTGAGGCGACCGACGTTGGGGACCGGAGGCGACAAACGTTGGGGCGAAGAGTACACTGGCGAGGCTGAGGTTCGAGAGGTCGAGTGACGTCAAGTGCCTACCGAAAACGCCATGTGCATTCAAATAGGGAAAAACTTGATCCACCTTAGGGTACAAGGGTCAAATAGGTATATCCTTGCCTATTTTCCCTTTATTTTCCCTACTTTTTTAATTGATAATTGTATTAAAGAGAGGGTAAAAGTGACATTTTAAACTGAAGGTTAGGCATTGTAAACGAAACCATCTAGCAGGGGAGGTTTGTTTTTCCTTCTTCCTTTTATTGTTAATTGTGTTAAAAAGAGGGTAAAAGTGACATTTAAAACTCTGCTAGGCATTGTATACGAAACCATCTAACATGGGAGGTTTGGGCAATATTTTGACTAAGAGGGGTGACTCTGCAATTTCACTATCTAGGACGGTGTCCAAGTGAAATTAACCCTAATTTAATACTAGATAGGAGGTTATGTCAAATAGGCGAAAAAAATTGGAAATATACCAAGCCAAATAGCAAATGGGGGGTTTTCCCTAATAATGCATATTATTATAGGTATGTAATATGTTACTATTTTTTCAACTAATAAAAAGTTAAGAACTATACCAAAAACAAAAAGAAGTTAAGAACTACTTAAAAATAGATTTTTTCGACGTTTATAGAATTTTAAAAATCCAACAAAATAAAAACTATTTTACAAGTTACTAAAAGAAATAATATTTTTCTTTAATATAAATTAAAAAAATATTTAACTACTAGTATTTTTTATTTCTTAATTAACAATATTTTGTGTACAAATCTTAAATAGTAAGAATTTTTTAAATTATTAATTAAATACATCATAAATTCGAACAGAAATAGGTACCGTGAATTATTAACTATTCAACATTCTAATATCAGGCGGGGATAGCTCAGTTGGGAGAGCGTCAGACTGAAGATCTGAAGGTCACGTGTTCGATCCACGTTCACCGCATTCTCTTTTTTATTCCTCAATGGCGTGTTCGATCCTTGTAAAAAAAAAATGTAAAAGTGAAAAAGTGAGTAGAGTTTGAAATAATTATTTATTTCGGAGTGATTGCAAACAAAAGAATATCAAATATAGAAGTTAGCACTTGCAAATAAACTTTAATTGTATGTTCACGTTTAGCTTTATAATTCACCCAAAATGTTTTATTGTATACTACACAATGAACTTGATCGGATAATATCCAACCATACACGTGTATATATTACATACACGTTACACGCCCGTCTATGATAGGTCATGCAATCATACACGTGTATATAACACATACACGTTACACACACATAATATATTATGTGTGGAAATAATTATTTCTTTCAGGCAAATCCCGCTAACACAATTATACGTCAGAGAACGATGAGCTAATGTATACATTTGTATCGTATGATGTATTATGTATAGAAGATTTGGGTAAATTTCAACACCTACCTGAGGTAAAATAAATGTTGTGAATTCAGGCCCACAAACAATAACAAGCCACACAAATATGAAAATCAAACCAAGAAAGAACACACAGATACCACTGTGTTGACTCAACCGACTGTTGACAACGTTGCAGATAACACAACTACAGTACCACAGATCTAAAACTGAAAGCTATAGAACAGATAAAGAACACAATATTTAAAGTGGTTCGACCTGTATTACCACAGGCCTACATCCACTGTGCAGAAAGAACAAAATCCACTAGATCAAGAAGGTTACATATTACAAGATAGTGATAACACTCAAGCTCTCAACAGCTATTTCACCTAAGCTGTATTGACACTCCCCTGTGTATACCTCACTGCTTCTCTCTTGTTTCCCAACCCCAAATCTCACAAACCCTGTGAAGATTTCCTTCTTGCTTTCCCTCTAGCTTCTTCTTTTGTTCTTGAGAGTTTCCTCTCTTTCCAGCCCCTCAAGCCTTATCCCCTTGATTTGGCCTTATCCTCCAAGCCTCTCCACCAATTGCTTTATATATGCAGAAAACCCTAGCAAAAAGCAAACTTGGTCCCCAAGCAAACCAGTGAGAGCTCGACAGGTGTCCACCACTGCCAGAGTGGTCCTCACGGGTTCTGTCTTCTAGTGTAACAGCTCCTTACACTTTCCAGCTCATCCCTTGGCTTTACTCTAACTGCTGACTCAGATAAAGTATCTACTTGGCATATACACGTGGATATGAGTCACATAATAACAGTTCTCCACCTTGACTCATACTCCACGTAGGCTTCTCTTCACTCTCTCCTCTCTGCACCCTAGCTTCTTAGCAAGCTAGATCCACCTAGCTTCTTACCAAGCTAGCACCACCTAGCTTACCAAGCTAGAACCACCTAGTTTCTCACCAAGCTAGCACTGACCCACCTAGCTTATAACCAAGCTAGCACTGCCTACAGCAGCTCACCAAGTCCGTACAGTGATTGAACTTTGAAACCAGTAAAGACTTTGTTCACATATTAGCAGCATTCTCAGTTGTATGCACCTTCTCCAGCTTCACATCAATGTGTTTCGACACCTGATGTTTCGTCAAGTGAATTGTACTTTGGTTGTCACAGTACACATTCACATTCTCCTGCTCAATCCTCAACTCATGAACCATCCCAATCATCCACATAGCTTCTTTGACTTCCTCAGTCACCGCCATGTACCCAGCTTCTGTCCTAGACAAATCTACCACCGATTGGAGGTTTGACTTCCACTTCACTGCAGTCCCAAAGAGAGTGAACACATATCATGTTAAGGATTTCCTTGTGTCGACACTACCAGCATAATCTGAGTCCTCAAGACCATTCACCGCATCACCTTCTATTCCATCATTCCGCTTGAATAGAAATCCAATCTCAGCAGATCCATTCATGTATCTCAAAGTCCACTTGAGTGCTTCCCAGTGTGCCTGCCCTGGATCAGCCATAAACCTACTGATCACACCTGCAGCGTGTGCCAAATCCGGCTGACTGCACACCATGCAATATATCAAGCTCCCAACCGCATTAGCATATGGCACCTTTGACATGTACCTCTGCTCTCCATCAGTTGCAGATGCTTGGGACTTTGAGAGTCTGAAATGCTTCCCCACAGGAGTAGACACTGCCTTGGACTGATGCATGTTGTATTTCAACAAGAGCTTCTCAATATAAGACTGTTGGGACAGGAACGAGTGACCACACCGTCTGTTCATTTCTATCTGCATACCCAAGATCATCTTGGCAGACCCCAAGTCTTCCATGTCAAACTCAAATTTCAGCTTCTCCTTGATATCATATATCTCCTCCTTGGACTTTCTTGCAATGAGCATGTCATCCTCATACAGTAACAAGTAAGCTCTAACCCTTCATTCTGTTTTCCTCACATACACACCATGTGAGATAGCTGTTGTAACATTCACCTGTTCCAACTCAAGGTCGTACCGAGCTACAAGTGCCAACATGATTCTGATTGAGCAATGTTTAACCACCGGTGAAAAGATTTCATTGAAATCTATCCCTTTCACCTGTGAGAATTCCCTAGCAACTGATCTAGCCTTGTACCTAGGCTTCTCCACCCCGGGAATTCCCTCCTTCTTGAAGAGCCATCGACAACTCACCGGCTTCTTCCTACTTGGTCTCTTCACCAAGACACAAGTCCCATTCTTCTTCACTGAAGCTATCTCTTTCCCCATAGCTTCAATCCACTTCCGCCTTTCCTTCCCATTTACTTCCCGGTAAGTGGCTAGCTCACATT